TGCCCAAAATTTATTTATTTCTTTGACAGAGACACAGCGAGAGAGGGAACACAAGCAGGGGGAGTGGGAGAGGGAGAAGCAGGCTTCCCGCCAAGCAGGGAGCCCGATGCGGGGCTCGATCCAGGGACTCCAGGATCATGACCTGAGCCGAAGGCAGTCGCTTAACCAAATGAGCCACCCAGGCGCCCAAGATGAACTTTTTTCTTGAAAATCAGAATTAAGTACAAGTTAGCAGTATAACTCATTGTTTACTCTCTTATGCTAGATGAAAGAGAGCACAAGGTAGACAGATCAAGAATTTAACTAAATGATGCCTACAGGTTGATGCTCCCCATTACTTCTATCTTTTGCTTGCTATCCCCATTTTGTGCTCTGTATTTGGAAAACATCATCTGCATCTCCTACCTGGTCAGGTTATTTCTAATCTAGTCCACACTAGCAAATTCCCTAATGAAACTGAGGGCCTCTGATTTCACCCTGAATCAATTTTTCCTTCTCATACAAAGTAGATTTGACTTCCACATCTACTTGTAACTCCTGTCTATATTTTAATATACTTTACTTTTAGAAGTTTTAGGGTTCACAGCAAAACTGAACAGAGTTCCCACATACCTGCTGCATCCACAATTAGAAACGACCTGCCCCGCTATCAACACGTCCCACAATACTGGTACGTTTGCTACAACTGATGAACACTGACACATCATTATCACCCGAAGTGCAGACTCTACGTTAGGGTTCACTTTTGGTGTTATACATTCTATGGGTGTTGACAAATGTATAATGATGTATCTAACATTATAGTATCATACAGAATAATTTCATTGCCTTAAAAATCTTCTCTATTTCACCTATTCATCCCCACCTCCCCCAACCCCAGCAACCACTGATTTTTTTTTTTTTTAACTTTCTCCATAGCTTTGTCTGTTTCAGAAAGTTATATTGTTGGAATTATATAGTATGTAGCCTTTTCAGATTGGCTTCTTTCATTTAGTAATATGCATTAAAGATTCCTCCAAGTCTTTTCAGAGCTTGATAGCTCATTCTTCTTCAGCACTTGACAATATCATACTATCTAGATGATTCATCCATTTACCTACTAAAGAATATTCAGTTGCTTCTAAGTTTTAGCAATTATGAATAAAGCTGCTATAAAATTTGTGCAAACATAAGGTTTCAACTCATTTGGATAAATATCAAGGAACATGATTGCTGGATAGTATGGTAAGAATATGTTCAGTTTTATAAGAAACTGTCAAACTGTCTTCCAAAGTGGCCATACCATTTTGCATCCCCACCCACAGTCAATGACAGTTCCTATTGCATTTGGTGTTCTGTTTTGGATTTTGGGCAGTTGTGTAGTAGTATCTCATTGTCTTAATTTGCAATTCCCTAATGACATATGATGTTGATTATCTTTTCATACTTGCTCGCCATACATACATCTTCTTTGATAAGGAATTTGTTCAAATCTTTTGTCCATTTTTAAGTTGGGTTATTAGTTTTTTTATTGGTGAGCTTTAAGAGTTCTTTGTATATTTTGGAAGACCATCCTTTATCAAACATGCCTTGCAAATATTTTCTCCCAGTCTGTGGCTTTTCCCATTCTCTTGACACTTTTGGAGCATAAGTTTATTTCAATGAACTCCAGCTTATCAATTATTCCTTTTATGGATCATACCTTTGGTATTATATTTAAAAATCATTGCCATACCTAAGGTGATCTAGATTTTCTCCTATGTTATCTTCTAAGAGTTTTATAGTTTTGCATTTACTTTCAGGTCTATGATCTATTTTGAGTTAATTTCTAAGAAGGATGAAGGTCTGTATCTAGATTCATTTTTTTGCAGTGTATATCTAGTTGTTCTGGCACCATTTTTTAAGAGACTGTATTTTCTGTATTGTATATCTAATATTTTCTTTGCTATATTGTCAAAGATCATTCACTATATTCACGTGGGTCTATTTGTGGACTCTATTCTATTGATCTATTTGTCTACTTTTTGCTGATACCCCACTGTCTCAATTATTATAGCTTTATAGTAAGTGTTGAAGTTGGATAGTGTCAGTCCTCCAACTTTGCTCTTCTCCTTCTATACTGTGTTGACTTACTCTGGCTCTTTTGCCTCTCCATATAAACTTTAAAGTCAGCCTGTTGATATCTACAAAATAATTTGCTGGAATTTTGACTGGGATTGTGTTGAATCTATAGATCAAGTAGAAAGAATGGACATATTGACAATATCAAGTCTTTCTTTCCATGAATGTGGGATATCTCTTCATTTATTTAGTTCTTATTTGATCAGTTTCAACAGAGTTTTGCAGTTTTCCCCATATTGATTGTGTACATATTTTGTTAGGCTTGTACCTAAGTATTTCATTTCTTCACAAGCAAATATAAATGGTATTGTGTTTTTAATTTCAAATTCCATTTGTTCATTGCTGGTATATAGGAAAGAAATTAACTTTTGCATATTACTTTGTACGCTACAAACTTGCTATAATCACTCATCAGTTCTAGGAGCTTAATGTGGATTCTTTCATATTTTCTACATAGGCAATTATGTCAATTGTGAACAAAGATAGTTTTATTTCTTCATTGTCAATCACTATACATTTTATTTTATTTTCTTGTCTTATTGCATTAGCTAAGACTTCCAGTGTGATACTGAAAAGGAGTGATGAGAGAGGACGTCCTTGCCTTGTGCCCGATCTTAGCAAGATAACTTTTAGTTTCTCTTCATTAATTACATTGTTACTTGTAGTTGTGTTGTAGATGTTCTTTACCAAGCTGAGGAAGTTCTCTTCTATTCCGTCTCCTGAGTTTTTTTTATCATGAGTGGGTGTTGGATTTTATCAGATCCTTTTTTCTGCATCTATTGATATGACCATGATTTTTCTTCTTTAGCCTGTTGATATGACAGATTATGTTAACTGATTTTCCAATGTTGAACCAGCTTTGCATACCTCAAATAAATCCCACTTGGTCATGCCATATCTCTTCTTATAAGCTGTTGGATCCAATCTGATAATATTTTGTTGATAATTTTTGTACTAGGTTTATGAGATACTGGTCTGTAGTTTTCTTTTCTTGTAATGACTTTGTCTAAATTTGGTATTAGGGTAATGCTGGCCTCACAGAATTAATTAGTAAATATCTATCTTCCTTTGCTTCTATCTTCTGAAAAAGATTGTAGATAATTGCATAATTTTTCCCTTAAACAGTTGGTAGAATTCACCACTGAACCCATCTGAGCTTGGTGCTCTCTGTTTTGAAATGTTATTAATTACCAATTCAATTTCTTTAATAGATATAAGCCTATTCAAATAACCTATTTTTACTTGTGTGAGTTTTAAACAGATTGTGTCTTTCAAAGAAGTGTCCATTTGATCTAGGTTATCAATTTTGTGTGCATACAGTTGTTCACATTATTACTTTATTATCCTCTGGATGTCCATGATGTCTGTAGTGATGTCCCTTTTTCATTTCTGATGTAATTTGTGCTCCTCTCTTTTTTCATAATTAGCCTGGCTACAGGCTTATCAATTTCATTAATCTATTCAAAGACTCTGCTCTTGGTTTTGCTGAGTTTCTCAACTGATTTCAGTTTCCAATTTCATTGATTTCTACTCTAAATTTTATTATTTCTTTTCTTCTGCTTACTTTGGACTTAATATGTTCTTCTTTTACTACTTTCCTAATAGAAAAAGTAAGGAAATTAATTTTTATCTTTCTTCTTTTCCAATATATACATTCAAAGCTATAAATTTTCCTATAAGCACCGCTTTCACTACATGCCACAAATTTTGTTGTCTTTTCATTTCCATCAGGTTCAAGTAAGGAGCCAAAACAAAACTTACTTCACTGCCTTCCCACTGAGCAGCTTGCCCAAGACCCTATTCCAATTCTGATAGCCCATTTACAAGCCAAGCCCCGAACACCCCCTGAAGTCACAAAAGTGTGAGGACCCCCCTCCCCCCACCCATGACTAGATCTCTCTGGAGTTAACGCTCAGACTTATCCACACTAAGCCTCCAGCAATTCATCAATTACACTTCACATTTTCCAATACCAATACTGGCTTCCCCAGAAGTGGGTTGTTGCTCCAATAAGTTGTGATTCTCTATTATTTGTCTAACTCTCCAATTCTAGGGTCATTGGTTTACCCCATGATCTCAATTCTCTGACAGATCTAAGAAGAGTTTTTGATTTCTCAGTTTGTTCAGCTTTTTACTTGTTGTTAGGATGGACTGAAAACTTTCAATCAATCTCCTTACATGAGACTGAAAACCAGCAAACTAGGAAGGTATCACTAAAATGCAAATGCTTCTTCCCAGAAGATAAACAATATATCTACAATAGGGAAAAGAACATTAACTCTTCACTAAAAGCTTTCTTTCACTAGAAAATTGCTTACTGCATTCCAAGCAAAAGTTCTATTATATACAAAGGCCTGGAATCAAGAAAGAGAACAGTTCTTTAAGAAAATGCAAATGTTCCATAAGATTGGAATGAGACTTGTGTGGTGGAATAGCAGAAAATAAGGATGTAGAGATAAGGAGGAATCATGTTATGCAGAACCTGACTGGCCCATCTAGAGTTTGGATTTTATACCTTTCTCAGCCTTTGAAGACTTTTAAATAGTAGAATGACATTTATTTCCTTCTAATCCACTTATTCAAAAACTATTAAAGGTGAAAGAAAATAGCATGAATGATTTATGTTTCAGAAAGTTCACTAAGGGGCATTAGTTAGAAGTGCATTAGATTCAGGGACCTGACAACAAAGACATCAGATAGGAGGCTTTTTCAGAAACCCTGTAAGACATGATGACAGCCCAAACTAAGGCAGCAGCAGTGGCAGGGGGAGGGGGAGGAAGGGGGAAGAGGGATGGATCGGGGTAGAGAAGAGGCACAAGATATGAGAGGTATTTAGGGTTTGGTGACATTGAATGCAGGCGCTGAGGGTTAGGGAGAAGTTACGACTTCCAGGTTTCTGACTTGGGGAAAGAAGGTGGGGGTGCCTGGCTGGCATAGTCAGTTAAATGTGTGCCTTTGGCTCAGGTCATGATCCCAGAGTCCTGGGATCCAGTCAGGCATTGGCCAGTGTGCTTCTCCCTCTGCCCCTCCCCCCGGTTGTGCTCTTTCTTTCTCTCTCCTTCTCTCTTCCAAAAATAAAATCAAGAAAGAAAGAAAAATAGATAGATAGATAGATAGATAGATGGTGGTGCCCCACACAGACGAAGATTAAGGAGAAAAGATTACAAGGTGAGTTTTGAACAAGTTGACTTTGAGATAACTGAGAGATATCCTAATGGAGACACATAGATGTCTTGTAGTCAGCTGTATGCCCAAGCCTAGAGTTCACCACAGCCACCCTTACTCATAATCTAGAAGCTGTCCCTATATAAAAAGAAGTTAAAAGCCTTAGTGTAAATGAGAGTGGAGGGCACCTGGGTGGCTCAGTCGGTTAAGCGTCTGCCTTCCAATCGGGTCATGATCCCACGTTCCTGCGATTGAGCCCCATTTCAGGCTCCCTACTCAGCAGGGAGTCTGCTTCTCCCTGACCCTTCCCCCCTGCTCGTAATCTCTCTCTCTCTCACTCTTTCTCTCTTAAATAAATAAAAATCTTTAAATATATATATAATAAAAAATAAATGAGAGAGTGGAATGAAGGGAAAGCCGTTGGACAGAATTTTTTTAGAACATCAGCACGTAAGATACATACTGAGCAAAAAGAGCCATGAAAAAGACCGTAAAGCAGAGGAAGAGAGTGGTCTGGTAGAGCTTTTTTAATAAAATTCAGCGTTCACAACAATCAGAGTTTAAGAGTAAACTGGCAAATACTCCATCATCCCTCTTTCTCCACAATGGCCACTCCTAAACCACAGCACATCAAACACGTCCACGTTCCGGAGGCTTGGCACTCACTCGTGCCCCTCCTCGCAAAGTTCTCTCCCCGTGTTCTACCGAACGCCAAAACTCCTACTCACCCTTCAAGAACAGCGGGAATAGAGCCGGGGAAGTTTCCCGAATGGGTACCTCGTTGTGTCCCCTTTACCACTCCTCACAGCTCAGTTTCCCCCTCATTGCAGAGTCACTTGACTGGCTAGATCTTACTCATGTTGTGATCTCAAGACGCAGCGCACACGAAGTCTGTAGAAAGAGTACAAAATGGTGCAGTCCTGTTTCTCACGTGCTTCCAGTTAAATTCCTGGTTCCTCACCTTCCATAGCTCTCCTTCATAAGCCTTATCTACGCTGCCTGGGCTAAAGTTACAAGGGGAAAACCCCTTCCGGACACAGACGTTTCACATCTAGCTTGATGGCCTAGCCGAAACTCCTCCGACTTCAGAGCCGAAAACACCCGGGCGCGCGGTAGAGCACCGGCCGCGCCAAGCTCAGGCCCCGCCCTTCGCGCCCAAACCCCGCCTAGCGAACCCCGCGCTCACGCTCCGCCCCCGGTGCAGGCGGAGGCGGGACCACGCCAGCAGCACTCCCCGCCCATGCCACGCCCCTTGCGCCAGGCGCACTCCCCGCCCCCGTGCCCAGTACGGTGGGTCCCACCCCGGATGTTCGCATTCGCTGACCGAGTCCGAGACCATGGCGGCGCAGGTAGGCCTGGCCGTGCTGCGCGACCTACTCCAAAGAGGGAGGGAACAGAGGGAAAGCGTAGGATGGAACTGGGCCGCTAACTGCGCGGGGCACGCGGGGCTCGGCCTGTAGACAGGCATGAGCTGCCGAATTTGAAACGGTGCCTTGGGCGAGCTGCTCTGCGGGAAGGAAGGGAAAGAATCTTTGTTTCGGCTCTTTACTTGAAAAGGTTTTGCTGCTTCTGGGGCAGCGGAGCGAGGTGGGGGTGGGGAGAACCGGAGAGTGGGGGGCGGGGGGGTCGGTTTCCTGCTAGAAGTGGTTTAGGAGCGCTAGTGCTTTGCGCATGTTAAAATAACTAACTTGCCTGGGGTCATACTTGCCGGGTAGCAGAACCCGCGCTCCTAACCCTTAAGATTGCTGTGTTTCATGATTGTAATTCATAATTGAACAATTATGGGGACACCAAAGAATGTATTTGGGAAGACCCGTGGGTCCCTTTCAGTAGTAACATTTTTGAGCATTTAAGGCACCAGAAGTTTATATCCTTTTAATCCTCCCGTGACACTTCTATGAGGTATTGTCTCCATTTTTCAGACCCAAAATTGAGGCTTAGAGGTTTGGCGTGCTTAGTGGTCACTTTAAGATAGCCAGGAGTCCTGTCCAGGTCTGTCCCTGTGCGAGGAACTACTCAGGTTCCTGAAATACACATTAGACAAGAAAGAAAGGCAGAAATATATGAATAATCAGTTTAAAATTATTTGGTGTTTTAATGTTTTGCAAACTTTAGAAATTTTCTAGAAAGATTTAGGACCTTAAATGTTGAGGTTGAGAAGAAATGGTGAACTCTAGACGATCTTTTAGACTTAACAAATTGGCAAGTTTTCCTTATTACCAAGTGCCTTTATTCAGAGAAGGTGAAAAATTTTAATCCTGTGATAGTTCAAATGTTGAAGTAGGACCATTGCCTGTGGATCTAGGGCAGAGCTTTGTTTTGCTTAGAATTGTCACTGAAAGAAAAGGTTAATCTTTCAAACATTCCTGAAATGAGGGGACGGGGCATAAAAGCTTAGATTATAGATGAATTATTTATTCATGTTGCTTAAGTTCTCTAGGATCCATGGCTATTCTGAATTTGACCTTTGGGACTTTGTTTTGAGATTTATGGTACATTCCATTGAAAACATTGTAATGCAATGTCTGAATTTTTTCACCATCAGATTTAATATCTACACTTTAATTTTAAAAGCAATAATTTCCAGCCTCACCAGTTTACACAAGCCACTCATCTCTGTATATAGTTCAACTCTCCTTTTCCTCCACTCTGTTCTGCTAATATTGATTTGTTTTTGCAAAGCTACACAATGCCGAGGACTGTATTAGGGACTTTGTTCATTTTCATTTACTTCTCACAATAGCTTTTTGTAATTGTAGGTGTTTTATCACTATTTGTAACTCTTTCTCATCCTTTGTTATCCTAGTTAAAAGTGAAGTTTTTTCAAACCCACCAACCAAAGTTAACTCTCTTTCTCCATTTTGTGCATTTTCTCCACTTAGTGCAGGAGCACTTTATGCCTCTCCCTTTGACTTACAGTTATTGGAATTGTTGACTTTCAAGTTTGTCTCCTATAAACCCAGCAATTTGCAACCTTTATTCTGTCAACACATTTTATAAGCATTATGTGAACTAATCAAAACTTCCCTGTGGGGGCGGGGGGGAGGGTGTGGCAAAATAGGTGAAGGAGATTAAGAAGTTCAAACTTCCACTTATAAAATAAAGAAGTCATGGAAATGTACAGCATTGGGAATAAAGTCAATAAAATATTGTAATAACTTTGTATGGTGACAGATGATAACTAGACCTACCCATGGTGATCATTTCCTTATGTATATAAACGTCAAATCACCATGTTGTACCCCTGAAGCTAATATAATATTCAGTGTTAACTATGCTTCAATTAAAAAAAAATTTTTAACTCTCCTCATTACACCTGATTCTCTGGTAAAGGAGGAGTGTACTAACTAGAATTTCTAAGGCAATGCTATGCTATAGAAATATAATACAAGTCCCATATGTAATTTTTTTTCAAGTTGCCACATTGAAATTGGATAAAAATTTCATTCATTATACAGTAATCCCCTCCCCTCCCCCCCCCCACCTGATCTGCTGTTTCAGTTACCCAAGGTCAACTACAGTCCGGAAGCAGGTGATCTTCCTTCTACCCATTATCAGAAAGTCAGTAGTAGCCTAACGCTACATCACAGTGCCTATGTCACTCCATGTCATCATCTCACATCATCACAAGAAGGATGACTGCATGCAGTACAATAAGATATTTTGAGAGAGAGACCATATTCACATAACTTATTATAATATAATTTTTCTATTTTATTATTGTTAATCTCTTACTGTGCCTAATTTAGAAATACTCTAGGGTATATGTTAAGCATTCAGATTCCTTGGATCCTGTGCCAGACCTTACTGAATCCGATTGTCTTGGAACCTGTATTTTTTTTTTTTTTTTTAAGATTTTATTTATTAGCAGAGCGAGGGAGAGAGAGCATGAGCGGGGATGAGGGGCAAAGGGAGAGGGACAAGCAGACTCCCTGCTGAGCAGGGAGCCCAACGTGGGGCTCAATCCCAGGACCCTGAGATGATGACCCATGCCGAAGGCAGACACTTAATCCACTGAACCACCCAGGTGCCCCTGGAATCTGAATTCTTTTTTTTTTTTTTTAAGATTTTATTTATTTATTTGACAGAGAGAGAGAGCAAGAGAGGGAATACAAGCAGGGGGAGTGGGAGAGGGACAAGCAGGCTCCCTGCCGAGCAGGGAGCCCGATGCGGGGCTCGATCCCAGGTCCCTGGGATCGTGACCTGAGCCGAAGGCAGACGCTTAACGACCGAGCCACCCAGACGTCCCTGGAATCTGTATTCTTGATATGCTCCTGCTTATGCATTGTAGAAGGCCATTAAATACTTGCTTAATAAGACTTCTTAACCAAAAGAGGCTTTTATATCTGACCATATGGTCATCTCAATTAAATTTTTTTAGTGAACATTATGTATATGAAATCTAAGAACATGCAAAACAGTTCTCCATATCACTTCGGGGTGTAGAGTTTTTTGTGATTGTGTGATCTACTTTCTAAGATTAGCATTCGTCAGGATCTAAATTAATAAGGAATTCATTATTAGTGCAGGAGGATAAACAACTTGCTCTCTTTTGTCCCCATTTCAGGTTATCAAGTGCAAGGCTGCAGTTGCCTGGGAGGCAGGAAAGCCTCTCTCTATAGAGGAGGTGGAGGTGGCACCCCCAAAGGCTCATGAAGTTCGAATTAAGGTAATGACACATCTAAGGCACTGGAAGAGAAGACTTACAATTAGGTCTCTGGGTAGATGAATCCTCTGAGGATAAATCCCAAAGGCCAGTGTCAAGGAGAAGGTATTGAAAGTCATCCAACCTTAGAATCACAACATCCTTCTCTTATTTTTTTTTTTTTTTTAAGATTTTATTTATTTATTTGACAGAGACACAGCGAGAGCAGGAACACAAGCAGGGGGAGAGGGAGAAGCAGGCTTCCCGCGGAGCAGGGAGCCCGATGTGGGGCTCGATCCCAGGACCCTGGGATCATGACCTGAGCCGATGGCAGATGCTTAATGACTGAGCCACCCAGGCGCCCCCATCCTTCTCTTATTTTACCCCCTTCACTTTTGCAGCTCTTCTCTCCGTCTTTTTAGCTTTGATGTTGAACTCAACAGCCTTCCCCACGGATCACTGGATTATTGCAATTTATCTTCCATAGCCTGTGTTTAAGATGAATTTGTAAGATGCTCTCTTTTCTCCTGATCGCATGACTTAAAACGAATGATGACACATTAGAAACAAAAGTAGAATTGGTCTTCAGACTCATTAGAGGCAGTTTCAAATAAGATTTGGGAAGAGGCTCCTGATTTGACTGGAGCAACAAGCAAGTGAAGTCCACTTGCTTAGAGAGCTTTAAAATGTACTGAAACTTGCAGGCAAGGCCTTGATTCAGGGGAGCCATCAGTCTAGTCCTGCTCAGCCTCGCTGTGGCAGAGAAAGGAAGTTACCCATGGAGAGAGGGATATTGCACAAGGCAGCCTCCTGGGTATTTTTAGCATTCTCTCTTGTTTTGATGTAAAAGTAATACTTTAAAGTAGTGACCATTGAATAAAACTAACATTCCAGAAAAGGTAAGCTTTTTTTGCTGTGAATTAGAGTATACTTTCCCCATCCCACCTCCAAACACTCATGCTCCCAGCAATCAAATAACAAGTGGAGGAGCCCACAGCCAAATAACTTTTCAAAATCCTTTTCAACCTGGACCCAGGAATCTGAAATCTTACACAGTTAATACATTTTTCTCTAAGTTCAGACATTAACCTGATTGTGACTTTGCCACTGAAAAAGAAAACGTGTCCTGGGATGTACTAAGATGAGCTGTATGGGAAACTACTAACAAATAGCAGGTATATAGGTGAGAAACAAAGAAGCATAAATAGAAACACTCCGCGATTTCATTTTTTTTTTTTTTAAGATTTTATTTATTTGAGAGAGCGCACAAGCAGAAGGAGTGGCAGAGGGAGAGAGAAGCAGACTCCCCGCTGAGCAGGGAGCCCAGTGCAGGGCTGGAGCCCAATGCAGGGCTCGATCCCAAGACCCTGGGATCATGACCTGAGCCAAAGGCAGACACTTAACCAACTGAGCCACCCAGGCACCCCTCCAGGATTTCTTTTCTGTGCTTTTAGTGGTTCCTCTCCACACCTGGAGGCACAGTGCCCA